GTTTGCACGACTCTTTGGTGACGAAGTATATATGAGTGGACCCCTTATCAAATTGCATGATTTTTATTAAAATACTAGGCTTGCATTCACAAAAAGCATGATTTCATAATTTTACATTTTATGCATATTTATGATTTATCGAACTTACATTTTATAAAAGATTTTACGAACTATTGTTTTTACGCCTTTCGAGATATTATGGACTTGTGAATATGGATTTATGATGATGATTTGAGCTAGAATGCTCCTACGGTTTTATGATATGATGTTTGAGCTATTGAGCTCCAATGATATGATTTGGAAAGATTAAGTTTATGTTTTTTGTGCTTACTTAGTGGGTAATCATACAACACATACACACAACACAAGTATGTATCAGTCTATGGCCATATGACACAATTGATGAGTAGTAAGATATCTATGACATACTTCTAGCTTCACTGGCGAAACCAGTGTCGGACAACTTCATTAGTCACGGCTAGTGTAGTGTTATGTTTTTTCTTCTCTAGTGTAATCCAGAGTCATTCAGCTTCACCTTCGGGTGATGGAACCTACCATATTTCTTCATTGGCGTAACCCAGTGTCGTACAACTTTACCTTTGGGTGATGCTTATGCCTTCGGGCGACTATGATACCCCTAGTTACGTACATTATCTTATGATTTACAAAGGTTTTATGGAATTGCCTTCAAGTGACTATGTTACCATTATTGAGTGTTGTTTTATACATACATGTTTTACGAATGTTTTATGGCATGCTAGGGTTTTCGGAAAACCCATTACATATTATGCTATATGTGTTTTCAAAATAGAGGGTTAGTATGTTCGAAAGAAAACGGTTTTCTTATTATTATTATTATTTATATTAAACTTTGGTCCAATTACGCTTTGTTTTTGCGCTCCCTTCAGACTTAGAATCAAGGCATACGATCCCGGCGTGAATGCAATCCCGTATCGGTATTGAGTCCTCTCGGTGGAAGACCCATTCCTTTGTTCGTACCTTTTTATAATATTCATTTCGTATTATTCTTGATTAGTTATATGCTCTGAACATGTTCCCGCATTCGCATATTTTGTTATGTTAAAATTTACATATTTTATTTACGTTCATTCTTTCTTCATAACTTGCGTGCATGTTAAAATGACTTCGTTACTCTCGGATGTCGGCCAACATGTGCCTATCCTGATGTTTGGAGGATATGGGGATCGGGGACGTGTCGAAAACCCTTTAGTAAATTATTCAAATTACCAAAAAAATTTATCCTTGCTTAATAAGAGTTTCCAAAATAAAAAGAATTTAGTTTATAGAAATTAGCATATGCCCCACACTCTGTGTGTGAAAATAATTTTTATTTTTATTTTAAAATGAGAAGGAGAAAGGGAGGAAAAAAAAATGAATGTGGATTAGAGAGAAGTTTTCTTTTTTATATTTTAGTTTTCAAAATTAGAGAATGTTAGGATCACCCTTGGGTGAGGCTTTAAAAAAAACTGTAAAATTTAGTTTGTGTGAATTTGCTTTACTGCTCATGATTTTGTATTGTGGTAGAAGACAAAATTGTCTTTTTACCCTCTTTTAGTTGACAAAGAGAATTTTATTAATGTAGTTTAGATAAAATAATAAAATGATAAAGAGAGTAAAATTAATAAATTATTATAATAGTTTTGAACTCTTCTTTTAATAATAACAATTTAAAAAAAAAAAGAAAATTAAAAGCTATAAAAGTTACAAGATAAAAATATACCAAAAAAAAAAAATTGCCATAAGCGTGAGTTTGTGGCAATAAGCTAGTAGAATAAAATGTAAGGAGTTGCCAGAGTCAACCACATTTCATGTTTCTCCACCCACCTTATTTCTTCACCACTGTTAAAATTAAAAAGTAAAAACACCATTTTCCCACCCATTATTGTTTCTAAAATAATCTTCACATTTTGTTTTAAATTCTTTTTTAACTTTTCCTTTGACTATAAAAAGAAAAAAACTTACAAATTATTGTTCTTGGAGACCAATTATTGTTCTTGGAGACCAACACCCCCCAGACTGTAATAACCTATTCGCACTGACATGTGAATTACAACACTGAACATTCGATAAGAGAAGGTTGAATACTTTGTTAATATGATCTAGAAATTCTTTGTTAACATCATAGTTTGTGTGATCCTCGAAGATAATTATTATCTTCATTATGAGTTGGATTCAAGGATGTGTAAATCCGTTAAAATGATTAGAATGTGGACATCTCATTGTCTCTCGTTAATTTATAATCTAGTCAATCGCATTTTTTATACCTAAATTAAGGTATTATGACGTAATAAATTGGAATGATGAGATGGAGGAAATAATTAATTAAAGTAGTTAGGTTTTAGGTTCGATCATTTCTAAAGGCGAATTTAAACCAAAGTATTACAATTAGCTTATTGTGATGCTCAATTCACTTCCTCATTCTTTAGTGTAGATAATGTTGTATGTATTAAAAAATAAGTTAATTAGTTGTCACTTAGTACTACAGTCTAATGATATTCATTTTATAAGTGAGTGAGATGTCTTAGGTTCGATTTTCGCCAAAGACGAATTTGAACCACATTGTGAAGCTAAGCTCATCCCTTTCATTTAGTGTAGATAATATCGTTTGTTCAAAAAAAAAAGAAGAGTTAATTAATATGAAACGCTTAATTAGTGGAAAAACGATTATACCACTCACTTATATTTAAATACACGATAATGAAAATTAAAGAACGTAGGGAATAACCAAATATTAACAAGATCGATTATTGAAGGGCAATTTCATCATTTTGCGGCTCAGACAATTCTACTTATGTACAAAGGTGAGTCCCATTTTTGAAAAATCAGTCTTCCCCAACACATTTCAGCCGTTTGGATTCCAACCAACCCTACCAATATGGGTCCCCACCATTCTCACAAACCCTTTAGCAAAAGAGGAATTTTGTGCTAGAAATACGCTGTGATACACTCAACCCTACCAATATGGGTCCTCACTATTCTCACAAACCCTTTGGCAGAAAAAGTTTTTTGTGTACTCAAAACACGCTCTGGTACACCAACTGTCATAATATAAATAGTTGGATACTTAAAAAAATTTAACCGCTTATATAGTGTACTAAACTGTGTTTCAAGTACATTGAAAAATTTCTCTTCTGGCAGTACAGAAGACGGCAAGTGAAAGGTCCACATCCAAAGCCGAAACAATAACTTGCTCTTTGTAGAATGGGAACCATTGCTGTCTCCTCTCCTTAAATTTGCCACAAAAAGCATAACCAAGCAACAGAACTTTCTTCACAGATTAAATATCTACCCAACATAATATACCTCCACGCGCCAATGTCAACACTTGTATCCATTTCAATTCATACGTCCATCCACGCGCTGTGTCTCGTCTGGGGCTTGCCAGTCTTTGTGACATTGAAGACACCGTTATCGGTCCAGAACGATGACGTTGAGGCACTCCAGCCTTGCACGGTCCGTGACCGTCCAACCACACGTATATATTCAACCACCCCTATAAGTAGGACAAGGATTGTCTACCCTACTTGTTTCTATGTTCGTGTTCTGTGATCACGATTAAGTCATATTAATATTTTATATTATTTTTTATGAAGATAATAAGACAAAAATGAATAGTAATATAAAATGTTGACGTGTCTTAACCGTGACTATATAAACAGGACGGTATGAGAGGGCACGGAAACAAGAAAGGCAGACAATCTTTGTCCCTATAAGTAACGTGCACGTCATTGTTACTCATCATTCACCGTTGACTTTACCAATCATACACCTTTTCCACCCATCCAACGGTCCAAAATCAAGGAGGAGCTACGGTTTGGAAAACACATATTTGCTATCATTTCATTTCATTTTCGAGTACTTGCTAAATCAAAGGCCGACAAATCTTTATGTGTTAGGAGATATTTATCAATTATTAGGCACTCAACGCTAGCGATAGATTTTTTTAGAAGTATTTATAAAATGATTAAAAACATTTTTATAGAAAGTGTTTTTGAAATCGATTCTTAATGAAAATGTAAGTGAATTATTAAAAGGTATTTTAAGTACTTTCTGAAAGAACCAATCCATAACCAGTACTACTTGTAGGAAGCATTTAAGGTGTTTTTGGAATCCAAAAACAATTTCATCAAAAGCACTTTCAAACAAGCCGATGCCACTATTTTGTGACATTCCATCACATGCACAATAAAGGAGACATTATGTATTAGAATTCTACAATTTTTTTTTAATTTTTGAACAAGCGATATTAACTACATTAAAGGAAAGGAGGTGGGTTTACCCTTATAATGGACTAGCAATAATATGGTTCAAATTCTTATTTGACGAGAATCGAACCAAAATTCTTTTACTTACAAGTGAAAATAAATAGTACTAAACTGTAGTACAAAAATGACATTCTACAGATTTTAACACTCTTCTATTGAATCAAACTCTTAACGCAAACGGCTTCATGGACTAATTTTTTTGCACAGTTATGATATATTTAACTGCTTGGCACGAATATTAATCATGTTTGTTTCCTTTTCCACACTAACACTAACGCTTATTTAAGATGAAACGAAAAAAATATAACTTTTATCCAAGAGTGTTTTGGTTTGATGGATAAAGGCTTGCATGTACAGATATACCGCTACAGTGACATTATTTACTAATAAATTGAAGACATATATAAGTTTTGTTCAAATATATTTGTTTTATTGACATAAAACTATATCGATGTACATGTATTATGTGAGTTATTCTTCATCTATGAGATTTCATTTTCTTAATTTGGTACAACATTGAAGAGGCAAGAAAACAAAAGTAATCAAAGTAATAAGTTATAAGAGAAACATGAACAAGACTTTTAAAAGTGAAATTATATATGAATTCTCTATTATCTTATATTTTTAATGAAATTTACGTACTAACATTAAAATATTATAAAAAAAATATAAGAATCTACAAATAGATACTGATCTGAGTCTGGCCATTAATTGTCGCTCAAGTACAAGTCTTTTTCCTCTTTCCCTTCTTTTTTTTTTCTCTTTCTCCAAATATTGAAACCATCAAAAGCTCAGAGGGAAAAGGAAGGACGGACGGAAACAAAAATAGAAAATAATTCAAGCTATTATTATTTTATTATTAAAAGTAGTGAAGGAGCGAGCGAACGAGCGAGCGAGCAAGCAAAGAGCTGAGTCTGAGTGTCCGTCCAAAGCAGATGCAACGGGCAGCCGGCGGAAGCAGCGGCGGTGAAGTGAGTCAAGGAGGAGGCGGACTCGGGCGGTACAGCTCGGCCCCAGCCACATGGTTAGAAGCGCTGCTGGAAGAGGACGAGGTGGACCCACTGAAGCCGACGCAGTGCTTGACTGAGCTTCTTGCCGACAACACACCTTGTACGACGGTGGATCCAGCTTCGTATGATGCTGCAGCTGGGTACCTTAGTCGACAGAAAAGCTCACCGGCTGATTTTAATGGCGGCGGCGGGGGGTCGGGGGGATATTTCGCCGGGTTTGGAATTCCGGCCGACCTCGACTTTGTGTCGTCGTCGTCGTTGTCCCCAAACAGCCCTTCTTCCTCTGCTAATAAGAGGGTTCGGGAGCACCGGCAACACCACTATTCCTCCGACACACATGTGGTCAGTTTTTTATTTTTTAATTAATGAATTATATGGTTATTAGTTTGTTAATCTAGTTTAATTAATTAATTAAAATTAAATTTAGTAATCTGGATTAATTTGTGAAATGGCAGAAAGTGGAGGAAGGAGGATTGGAGGATTCGGTGGGTTGCAGGGTGAGGGCCAAGCGTGGTTGTGCCACGCATCCCAGGAGCATTGCTGAAAGGGTTCGTTATTGTTTCCATTAACTTAAATTAATCACTCGTTACCTACACACTAATTGTATATATTTCTCCAGAAATTTGAAAGGTGAAGGAATTTATTTATATTAATTATAAAATACCAAATTTAATTTTGTTGGTTAATTTGTTATATTATAGGTCAGGAGGACTAAGATCAGTGATCGCATAAGGAAGCTTCAAGAGCTTGTGCCCAGCATGGATAAGGTACACCCTTGAGGCCTGACCCTCCCTCCTATTCATTTTATTTTTATCAATTTTTGTATGGTTTTAGGGCCCCGGTTTTCTACACATTTTAGTTCTTCTAGTCGAGAAATTTTCCAAATGTCCGGTATCCAAGCGGATGCTCCACGTGTCATAAAATAAGTGGAGGGACACAGAAAAAAATATATTATTTACTCCACTTGTATTATTACATGTGGAGTACCGCCTGAATACCTGGTACTTGGAAAAATCTCTCCTTCGAGTCCTGCATCACTTACTTGAAACATGTTTGGATGATTATCATCTGTCTCATGAATATTGAAAACTAACTAGCGGTGAAATTAATTCAAGTTATAGAATTGTATGAAAATCATATCTCAAACAAATTTAAGGCTCGGTTTGGATTCTCAAGTATTTAGATTTTAAATCTAGGCAATCAAATTTTCGTAGATTTGGAGTCTAGATGTTTGAATTAAACATTTTACAGCATAAGATAACTTACAGAAATGGTAACAGTATATGGCTGATGTATTCATTATTATACCCATTATATCGGTTTTAAATTTAGGCAATCAGTATCTAGTTTATGACGAAATCTTAGAATTCAGACCCATGTCTATTCTATGTTGCATCAACTTTCCTTAAGGCTTCGTGGGTCGATGCTTGTTTAAGGAATGTATCTACAAGAAAATTATCCCATGATAGGTCATTGGGTTATGAAGGGTTGCTTTAATTATCTGCATCAATTTTAATGGTTAGTAAACATTTAAATGACTTCTTGTTTACTTTCGTATTTTGTAACTCATTTCTTCTCCGCTTTTTATTGAGATGCAAAATTATCACGATATGCAGTAAACTGTAAGCACCCATTGTATTTCAAATTACCATCAAGCTTAACTCGTAGGTAAAAGTTTGGACTTAATGTTACTGATAAAGATAATCTCTTTCAGATAAAAAAAAAAAATAATGGTCAGGAAAATTACAATGAATGAGAAAAGTACACTAACGCATTTTTTTCCAGATAGAGGTCGCGAGTAATCTTTGGCTTGGGAGCTATTTAAATAGAGTATTTCTACGCACAGTAATCGTTGCTATAATGGTGATGTGATAGCAATACTTTTCATGCTTCAAACTGTAGTAATCACTTGAATCTCGTATTGAAGAATTTGAGTGAATGAAATTCTTTAAGAGAGTAGCACGTGCATTTTTCAAGGTATGGAAAAAAGGTCATGTGCAGGAATAAGTTGCATCGCTGCAGCCTGCATTGGAGCCATAACAGTAGAGAGATTATTGAAAAGAATATGTATATGTTGGTGAACTTAGTGTTATTTGGGCCATTGGTCCCACTTGATTATGGAGAAAGTTATTTAGGGAGGCAAGGTTGACTTTTATGATTCCCTAGTCATGCATACTGTATAAACGAGAGAGATTGTACCTTCGGTGGAGCAGAAAAGGTGCAAATATGATGGAGCTGATGGATTTTGAACATTTGTGTCTAAAGGATGTTGAGAGTTGTCCCACATCGGTGAGGGACAAGGTTTGTTATGTGCTTATATGGTCTTGGGCTACTCCCCATATTGCCAATTGGTTTTATGGTGGAACCCCAATTTCATCAAAGGAATGCTATGATTTTGAAGGAACATGAGGAGAGGAGGTATCCCTTTTGCGGGAATGAGTGTGTTGTTTGGCATTATAGTGGTCTTCGGTTTCTAAATAGCTTAAAGAAACATGTTCTTCATCCATGCGGATTGGGCTGTGGCTACAATTTATTGAGATTGTGGTGTGTGTTATGTAATTGCTAGTTATTCAATTTTGTAACATCATAGGACTGCTTGTCCCATGGTAGTGTAATTGTTTTTGTTTCATGCTAGTGTAATTGTTTTTGTCCCATGCTAGTGTAATTGTTTTTGTTTCTCTTTTCAAAAAAAAAAAAATGTTAATTAAATTTTTACCTTTCATAAATAAACTTCGAACTTAAATACTAATACTTATAAAACTCGAGTCCCATTCTCTTGGTCACCTGGTGACCAAAGATACATGGTCACTTACCCTTGGATTAGATATCAAGGGTTAAGATTAAAACATTAAAAGCATATCTAATCCTTGATATCAAATCAAAGGATGAGGGACCATGCATCCTGTGGTCAACAGGTGACCAAGAGAACATTTTTGTATAAAACTCTGTCTTTCCGACTTCTTAACCCTAGCATTTGTAAAACCATTTTAAAATTTTGTACAAAGAATAGAAACCGGAAGATATTTTGAATAACTTCAAAATCTGTATATTGTGTATATGAATTTTGTCCAAACTTTTCATGTGTTTTGTGAACAATAGCTTACAATTGTTTGGTGTGGTGCTTCTGTCGATTTTCTTTGCAGCAAACTAATACTGCCGATATGTTAGACGAGGCAGTGGAGTATGTTAAGTTCCTTCAGAAGCAGATTCAGGTATTATATACATTGACCTTGTTGAAGAAACTTTGTCAGTATAAATTGTTCCTCAAACGAGACACTTGGGAAGGACTTGAATGGAAAAAGTTTACATTAGCCTTTCCTTTCTTTTCCCTCTTTTGAATAAGATGTTATGTTTGTCTCTGCTGTGTCATTGAAGGGAAGTTACGTAATAAAAAATTCGAAACATGGCAGGAACTTTCGGAGCATCAGCGCAGGTGCAAATGCATAGCTAAAGAATGACCAGAAGGTACCCGAAATGCCTCCTACTGTTTAGTGTAATTATTAGATATATTAATTGCAGCCAAGATTCATCATGGCGGTGGTTTGTTGATAATCGTTTCTAAGAGACTTACCGTTGTAATTTTGAGATATACCATACCTAGATTCCATGACTATGCAATTAGCTGCTTCTACTTGGAAAAGTTCAATCGGTTCCAAGGAAACAGATTATTGTTCTAGAATTGTAGTCATACAATAGTATGACAAGATTTTTTATTTTATTTTATTCTTAACATGCTTCATTTATGCATCTGTTACGTTTACTATCGTGTATCTGGATATTTATACTCATAAAGTTTTCTGTTACCTGGTGAGGAGCTATATAATTAATAAAATCTCGTGAAATTCTCAGAGCTGTCATTAACTCCAGTTACTGTGTAGCAATAGCATAGTGATATTGAGTTTTGGTGTGTATGTTGTCATCGTGATGAAGGAGGATTTAGGCGAGAGATTATCAAGTTAGGTCTTGTGAACATTCTGGTGGAAGATTCTCAAATTTTGATCAACCTACTTGGTGGAGAGAAACCACAATCATGGCGTCTTCTTTCACGAATGAAAGATATGTGGAGTTTGATGGTGAATGTTCGGGTTGCTCATATTCGGCATGCTTTGCGTGAAGCCATTATTGTTGCAGATGGTCTAGCTTCTTTGGGACATTAGAAGTCGAATACAAGTATTTTGGTTACGAGTCACAACCAAATTGCGGTTGTGATGATGTTCAGGCCGAATGAATTGTGACTTCTTGTTGGTTGCGACATCTGCATTGATACTATACACGCTAAAGCTAGGCCTGGTATTTTGGACCCAATCCGTTAATCCGACCCGACTCAACCCGTTAATATTTGTATTTGGGTGGATGCTTAACAGGTCGGGTTGCTAACGGATGAACCCGTTAACAATCCGTTAAATAACGGATCACTTTGGGTCAACCCGTTAGACCCGTTAGGACCCATTAACATCCGTTAGCACCGGTTAGTTGAAGATATTTTAGTAATTTTAGTAAAGTCTTAATAATAAAAAATAAACTTTATGCAAAAAAAAAAAATTAATTGTTAACGGGTGATAACGGGTCGGGTTCGGATGATCCGTTAGCTTAACGGGTCAGGTTGAACCTGATCCAAACTTAATAAACCCGATCCGTTTACAGGTCTAGCTAAAGCGTTAATTAATTAGCAAGTTTGACATTGTTGAATCAGCTCAGCTCATTGTTTAAGGTCATCGTTGAAAGATCACGTCTTCCGAAAATGAACCAACGACTTAGTAAGAAAGAAATCCATCTTCTTGGGAGGAATTAAGCTGATGGTCAACGTTACTACATGTTGTTTGACTTGAGAAGATGATGATATGGTGCACGCTGTCCTAGAATAATTACCCAACTTTCAGACTAAATCTCTCCACTAAAGATTTTTCTCATGTATCAAAATATAGTTGGTAAACCATGTCATCATATTTCGACCAAAAAAAAAAAAATCACGTCATCATATAAATGGAGAGAAGATATATTTTACAGCATTTTTTTCATTTATATTATGACCCATAATGTATCGACTTATGTTCCGGATACATCTATTTCATCGGACAACAAAATCTTCCCTCCGAAATTTTTCAGCACAAACACAAATCAAGCGACAAAAAAAGCGAACACAAACCAATGAGCATGCAAAGACACAAATCCAGGAAATAATGGGCAGGCCCAGTCCTACATTATTTCCACGCTTGAGCCTGGAGCTGAGCAAGCTCATAAGAATACAAACCGTCAGTCTAGTAATGCTAAGAACGACGGTTCAATTTCAAACTATAGTTGTCTGGTAATATAAAGAACGAGGAGTTTATTATAAAAAAAAAAAATGGTGATGGGAAGACAATACAATTGTCATCAAACAGATACAATTTTTCTTATTTTATTTTTCACCAAAATCCAAATGCAAATGAAAATCCAGAACTTGCATAATTATGTTAAGCTATTAACAAAGTTAACCAAGTTTCTGGTGGACGAACCATTCTCTCCCAAAGCAGCCATAGCCATCTCCCCAATTTTCTTGCTCCTCTCTCTAAGCACTCTCCCTTCTTCCGACTCCATCAACTCCCTCACTCTCCTCTCCAATTCCTCCCCACTCACGAACCCATCTTCCTCATCTCTCTGCTCAACCGCAATCGCTATTTCCATGTCCGTCGCCATAACATTCCTGTTCAAATGCTGCTCCGCGTACAACGGCCAAGCAATCATGGGCACCCCCGCAACCACTGCTTCCAGCACCGAGTTCCATCCGCAATGTGTCACGAACCCACCAACCGATTCCTTCTTCAACACCTCTGCCTGCGGTGCCCATGACTTCACTACCATCCCCCTGTCTTTGGTCCTCTCCAAGAACCCTTCTGGCAACACACCCTCCAAATCAAAGTCGTCAACTCCAAGGACCTGCTTTGTTTTCTCATCAACCGGCGGCTTCTTCACCACCCACAGGAACCTCTGCCGCTCGCCTCCAACGCTTTCGCTATCTCCTTCAGTTGAATTGCAGGGAGTGATCCCCTGCTTCCGAAACAGAGAAAAACCACGCTTCGACTTGGCTGCTTATCGAGCCATGACAAGCAGTCCTCCTCGGCCGCAGCTGCATCATTACCCGATACTTTTTCTTCGTCAATCAATGGTCCAACGTAGTACACAGGCGAAGTTGGCCCATCAGGAACACACAGGCCTTCAGCAATGGCATGGAGGACGGCTGGCGGCTCGAGCTCTTCGAACGTGTTGACGATGATTCCTTTGGATTTGGGAAGATCGGAGCAAAAGGAGAGGAAGTCCCAATAAGCAGGGTCGTCTCGGTCGAGCAGCGGTTCGATCATGTGTATAGCCTTCAGAGGAGATTTCCGTCCGGGGAATTCGATAACGGTGTCGGTGAGGTCCTTGAAACTCTGGGTGGTTTGTTCATGGATCTTAGGGAAATACAAAAAAGCACCCAGAGCTGCGGCACCAGAAGTGTAGAAGTAGTATGTGGGAATGTCGAATTCCTTGCTGATGGTCATCACGGAGGTGCAGACGAGGTCGATGATGAAGGCGCGGACGACGGCAGATTTGGAGATGTCTTGGAGGGCACGGCGGACGTGGGGATCGTTCTGGCGAACGAAGTCAACCACGATTGCGGTGCCGCTGATGTTTTGGGTAATTTTATTGGTGACGCGAGGGAATTGGCGGAAGGAAATGGAAGGGTGGGAGTGGGAGATGCGGCGGATGTAGGCGGGGATGCTAGGGGTGTCGAAGAAGCTGCCGCAGGTGTAGAGAATGGTGATGGAAAACTTGTGGGGGCCGTAGCGGTGGAGGATGAGCTTGCCCAGCTCCACCATGGAGATGACATGCCCCATTCCTGGAGCTGCGTACAGCACTATTACGTCTCCCATGGCAGCTGCTGCTGCTGATTTGTGTGTTGTGTTTTCTGCTGAAATTATCTGATTTGATTTGAGAGAAAATTCAACTGAGTTCGGTAAATTGCTTATCTGATTTGATTTGAAAGAAAATTCAACTGAATAAAAGATAGGTAACCAGTGCATGCTCTCATCTAACCAGCGCATGCTCTCATCTAACCAAATAGTTAGAAGCAAACAAAAGTCAATCAAAACGACATGGAAGTAGACCATAATTTGTTTGTCTTTTCCTTATTTTATTTTTTCTTTGTATTTTTTCTATTTTAATAATTACAAATTGGCCAAGAGATATACATCAACAAATAGCTTAAAATAATAAAAATCTGACTCAGACAATGATCCCAATTGAAGGAAACCTTTAAAGTTTGACGAACAATAAGATTGTTATAAAAGAAAGGGAAATTAGTCCATTGCAGACTAATTTTAAAAGTGTTTAGTCGAAATAAAATACAGACACAACAATAATGCAAACATCATCTTAATATCACAATACTGTAGTGAGATTAAAACATTCAAAGCACATCCAACTATTGATAACAATTTCAAGAGTGAGTGACCATGCATTCCTTATTTACTAGAGAACATTTATGTATAAAACTCTGTGTCTTAATGAATTCTTAATCCTAGAATTTGTAAAACTATCTTAAAATTTTGCAAAATGAAGAGAAACCAGAAGATATTTTCTGTACATGAATTTTGTCTAACTTTTCATGTGTCTTGCAAAACTAAGCAGACAACAGCTTACAATTGTTTGGTGTGGTGCTTCTGTCGATTTTCCTTCATTCCTTGCAGCAAACTAAGTAGACAATAGCTTACAATTGTTAGATGAGGCAGTGGAGTATGTCCAGTTTCTTCAGAAGCTGATTCAGGTGCCTCTTTTGAATAAGATGTTACGTATGTCTGCTATGTAATTGAAGGGAAGTTACATACTAAAAACTTCGAAACATGGCAGGAAATTTCGGAGCATCAATGCAGGTGCAAATGCATAACTAAAGAATGACCAGAAGATACCCGAAATGCCTCCTACTGTTTAGTGTAATTGTTGAAATATCCTATATCGATCGTATTTATGAGAAAAGAAGAGTTTAAATATCTTAATCCCACTCCAACTAATACCGAGGCTTTTTGTGATAACACTCCACAACTGATGGATCGTGCATGTGGTAATTACTAAGTTGGAGACAATATTAGTGTTGTTGGAAGTATACAGGCGTAAGAGTGCCATACCTAAATTCCATGATCATGCACTTAGCTGCTTTTACTTGGAAAAGTTCAATCGGTATGATTTTGGTTTTCACTTCCAAGGAAACAGATTATTGTTCTGGAATTATAGTCGTACAATAGTATGACAATATATTTTGTTCCAAGGAAAAAGAGGTCGCACTTGGTGCGATGGCAAGTGCCTTCGCCCATAAGCGGTAGGTCTCGGGTTCGAGACTTGGGAGCAGCCTCTCCATAAATGGGGGTAAGGCTAGCCGACATTCACCTCTCCCAGACCCTGTGTAAAGCGGGAGCCTTGTGCACTGGGTACGACCTTTTTTTTTTACTCTTAACAGGCTTCATTTATGCATCTATCACGTTTACTATCGTGTATCTGGATGTTTATATATTCACAAAGTTTTTTGTTACGTGGTGAGGAGCTACATAATTAATAAACTCTCATGTGGGATTCTCAGAACTCATTAACTTCAGTTACTGTGTAGCATAGTGATATTGAGTTTTGATGTGTATGTTGTCATCGCGATAAAGGAGGATTCAAGTGAGAGATTATCGACTTGCATATGGCTGATAGTTATTTAGAACAAAATTACAAAGTGATTTGCTATCTTCATCAATTACGCAGCTAGTTTATATTTAAAAATTTAGAGCTTAGGGAATCATAGCTAAAAATCCTATGTTCGAATCCTTGCATTTGCAACCTCTTGTGTGGAATGTGGTCTCTCTAGTGGGCAATGGTGAGAGGCTGACGAATAAGGGAGAGTGGTAGGATATGGAAAATTGTAAGACGCTTTCGTCAATAATGTCAATTCCGCATAAAGTTTGGAAGAAAAACCAAAAGCGAATAAGAAATGTAGGGTTGCTTGACGAGTTAACCATTTGGTTTTTAGTCTTTAGTTTTGACTTTTTGGTTAGATATGAAAAGCAAATACGAGGGAGAAATGAGAGATGAACAAAGGAATATATGATGAGTTGTGGGAAGGATGCGGAAACCTTGGGATTGAAATTTGGGTCAAGTATTTTGGTTTAGTAACCCTCAATTGTCTGTTGCTCATAAATTTTGTAGGAACTAAGGATCATGATCCTTATTTTAACAAGAAAACTTCATATGCTTTTCATTTGTTACTCACATGAGTCACAACCAAATTGCGATTGTGAATTGTGATGATGTCCAGGCTGAGTGAATTGCGATTTCATGTTGGTTGCAACATTGCATTGGTATTATACACTCCGAAGCATTAATAAGCTAGTAAATTTGACAGAGTTGAAGCAGATCAACTCATTGTTTAAGGTCATTGTTGAAGGATCATCTCTTCCGAAACCAACCAACGAATTAACCAACGACTCAGCAAGAAAGAAATGCATCTTATTGGATGGAATTAAGCTGATGGTCAACGTTACCACATGTTGTTTGACTTGAGAAGATGATGAGGCAGTCTGTCCTAGAATAATTACCCAACTTTCAGACTAAATCTCTCCACTAGAGATTTTTCCCATGTATCGGAACACAGACGTCATTATATAAATGAAGTGAGGATATATTTTTTTATCTTTTTTTTATTTATATTATAAAGTGATGTATCGGCTCAAGATTGGATTACATCTCTTTCAACAGACAACAAAATCTTGCCTCTCTGTCTCTTTCCTCCAAAATTTTTGAGCACAAACACAAATTAAGCAACAAAAAAAGCAAACACAAATTAATGAGCATGAAAAGGCACAATAGTCCAGGAATTAATGGGAGCAAAAGGAGAGCTTGTCCCAATAACCAGGGTAGTCTCGGTCGAGCATCAGGTCGACCATGTGGATAGCCTTCATAGGAGATTTCCATCCGGGGAATTCGAAAATGATATCGGTGAGGTCCTTAGAACTCTGGGTGGTTTGTTCATAGATTTTAGGGAAATACAAAAAAGCAGCAAGAACTGCGGCACCAGAAGTGTAGAAGTAGTATGTGGGGATGTCGAATTCATTGGCAACCGTCATCGCGGAGGTGCAAAAAAAGTCGAAGGCGAAGGTGCGAACCACGGCGGATTTGGACATTTCTTGTAGGGCACGGCGGATGTGGTGATCGTTCTACCGAACGAAGTCGACCATGATTGCGGGGCCACTGATGTTTTTGGTAATTTTATTGGTGACGCGAGGGAATTTGCCGAAGGATATGGAAAGGTGGGAGTGGGAGATGTTAGAGTATGAGTTGGTGAGTGTAGGATTGTTACACTTGTCATAAGATTAGGAGCTGTGTTAGTTAGGTAGTTAAGATTGTTGTGTATAAATAATATTGTACCTTGTATTACTTGTTAATTAAGAAAAGATATACATTTCTCTCTTCCCTATTCTCTCTCTCTCTCTCTAGAAACTGTTCTTCATTACATACATAAAAGATCTTCAATTGATATAGGTTAACATGGTATCAATCGCCTCTAATGCTTGCGCATGATACTTTGATCCATCTTCTTGCTTCCGCTACCTTCAAATCTGTCTTCGGCTACCTCTGATTTCTGTTTCTTGATCTTCAAGGATTCTTCATCTTCTTGAAACCCTCATTTTCTAGGGTTTGGCTCGATCTTGATTTGTGATCGATTTTTCTTCTGTATTTCTCTGGATTGTACAGTCCAAGTGTTTGTGATTAGTCCTCAATGACTTTCTTCTTCGAACAACGATTTGATTCAACTCTCTACTGCAACAATGGTGACTGCAGCACAACTTACGATTCTTCAATCTCCAATCATGGCTCTAATTTCTATGATTTCTACGTCTGTAAACGTGAAATTAGATGATTCAAACTACCTGGAATTTTCAGATGCAACTCATGCTGGAAAGCAATGGAATTATGGGATTTGTTGATGGCTCCAATCCCTGCCCTGCTAATACTGTCTTTGCTAAATCTGGTATGAATTATTTTGATTCATCTACTTCTGTGGAATGTGATGAATTGCTAGTATGGAAAATGCATGATAGGGCTATTATGCAACTTGTTATTGCGACTTTGTCACATGTTGCTATGTCTTGTGCGATTGGTAGTAAAAGCTCTAAAGATCTTTAGATTCGCCTAAAAGAACAATTTTCCATTATGTCAAGAACTAGCATTTTCCAAATGAAGTCTAATTTGTAGAACATCAGAAAAGGGTCTGATACTATAAGTCAGTATTTGCATAAAATCAAAGAGGCTAGGGATTACTTGGCAGGTGCAGGTGTGTAGTTTGTTGATGAAGACATTGGAATTCTAGCTTTGAATGAACTCCCTCCTGAATATAATACATTCAGATGTGTGGTTAGGGGTATAGAGAGTGTTATTACCCTTAAAGAATTTCGATCTCAATTACTAGCTGAAGAAAGTATTGTGTATAATATCTCTGTTGCACCATCCGATCTCACTGCTATGGGTGCTAACTCTGGACCTAATATGTCTCAAGCACCAACATTTCAGCAGTCTAATGGTTCTCATGGACAATCATCCTATTTTAATGGAGGTTATAAGTCTTTCAATAGAAACAAGGGCAAGTGAAAGTTCAATTAAGGTTAGAGATCATTTAATTCAAGACAACAGTTTTATACATAAACTCATGTGTTGCCTACACCAACTTCGGGTGTTCTTGGTCAATCCCCAACGATATACTACTCTTCACCATCTGCACCTCTTATTCCTACATGTAAATTATGCAATAGTGAAGGTCATACTGCTCCATTTTGTGGTTCTAAGCCTCCTAAGAGATCCAAGTGTCACATCCGTGAAAAAACAAATCAGATCACATGGTACTGCTTCTATAATGACAAAGGTCCAAATTTTATTGGTGCTGGTTGTCATCATAATTATTCTCAGATGTCTTCTTAGTTATTTGGACACTCTTCATCTCAGCACTACCAATCTCAGCAATCTTCTATGCAA